GGGGGGGTGGGGGGGGGGTTCTGCCTCTTCCACCACTTCCAACATTACGGACGTTGGATCGTTATTGATGACAGAGGTGCTTCAAAAAAAATGTCAGTCAGATGTATATGTGTGTCCTGATGGCCTTCTAAACCTGACTGGAACCGTCTGTGGGACAGATAGTATTTTAGGTAGGTTTTATATTTAGAGACTGAAGCCAGCTACAGGGATTGTTGTAAGAGAGCGAAAGATAAAGAGAGAGAGAGAGAGAGAGAGAGAGAGAGAGACTGGTGTTCAATTGTCTGGCCATCATTAAGCATAAATCAGAAGAATCTGGCTGAGAGCTGAAGACAAATTGCCACTACACATTACCCAAGTGAGTATAGTACATTTCCAAACCTCAAAATGCTAAGAGTCAGTCAAATGCTCTTTCCTTTTTCTCAAGAATGGGGCTGGACAAAGTCATTCATCCTTTTATCACATTCAGGAACAATGTAAGTGTCCTTACCTCCTGCACTCCTTTAAGAAGGTGTGAATCCTTGCAGCAGGTCTATACGAAGCTGAAATGAAGGCATTTCTGGCCTGCAGGTGATGGCTGACATGCGTGTGTTTACTGTGTTCCGGGAGGGACGGCTATGTCCTCCTAAGCCTAACCGCGCACGCGCTCAGTCGCAACGTCTTTGAGAGCTATGGCCTCATCTGTCCCCCTAATTGTGCCATAATTATAATTATGGAAACCTCACCTGCTTCTCTATATTGCTGGAGTTCTTATTCTTGATGCAAAGGCAACTTGTTTTTTTTTTCTCCTGATCTTCTAAGATCACTTCACATCATCAGCATATTTGCAGAGCTGTCTGGTTCTGTGTTCCCTGACAAAGCAGTACTTGATACTGCCATTCAAGGCCATTCAAGATGGTGCACACTCACTCGCACGCATAGAGACAGAGGGATATCTGGCCCTTCATTGCTCTTTTGCACAACATCTGGTCTGGTTGCACGAAAAGCTTCAGCAGCCTGTAGGATTCTCAGTTTCCTCCATGTCTCCTTTTGCCGGAATGACGCTCGCATCTGAAAATTATC